ATACCCCCTAACCATATTAAATGCATATTCATCACAAAATATAACTCCATTGTCGATATATTGCGCATGCGCTAAAACACTAACGTAGCCAGATTGTGTAGGTTGGTTGGTATATTCCGCCGGGATCTTACATGCAAGGTTTTCCCCCTATTTCTTAATTGATGTCTACTGATAAAATGTCATCATATAAATCTATGCTAGGATAACTCGTCGTCATTTTAAATGCATAACCTTTGCAAAATATTATTTTTCTCGGGAGATATTGCGAATGCGCGAGCACAGTTTCACGCGTGCAGTACGGACTGAAGAAAACTTCATAAGATAGCTTGCTGAGGGAGAGAGGGGTGGGAGACTGAGGAAAGGCGGCATGAAGATAGCTGGGGCGGTAGAAGAAGAAGGGAGCTGAGCGAGGGACAAGGGAGGAAAGGGGAAGGAAGCGGGGGCATAAAGTAGGTGTTTGGTACCCGATAGGGCACTCTCCTGATTATAAACACAGGTCTACTGATACAAATTTATTAGAGAAATCCATGCTGAGATACCCCCTAACCATATTAAATGCATATTCATCCCAAAATGTAACTCCTTTGGTGAGCTATTGCGCATGCGCTAACACACTAACGTAGCCAGATTGTGTACTGGTTGGTATATGCAGCCGGGACCTTACATGCAAGGTCTTATCCCTATTTTTAAGTGATGTCTACTGATGAATAAATGTTATCATATAAATCTATGCTAGGATAACTCCTCTTTATTTTAAATGCATATAATAGAAAATCCAATATAATATAAATTAGGGATAAAATGTTATTACAATTAAGGTAAATATAATCAGGATATGTAAGCGCATAAATAATCAGGATAACATTCTGAAGTATCAAAAAAATTTGATAAAACGTTTATACTGACTAATATATGCAGCGGGGACCTTACATACAAGACCTTTCTTTTTCTCAAGTGATATGGAGGTTTCTTAAGTATATGGGCTCCTGCTCTACTAGACGCTTTGTTGCGCAGCAGCGTCCAATACATGTACTATATACGGTGCATACGACGTAAATATTAATATTATATATAATGTGTATTTAATATATGTGTGAACGTCTTTACCAATGAAAGATAAATTCATGAAGTAATGAAATAATGAAAATGTATGTCAATGTGTAAATGTAAATGTAAACGTTAAATGTAAATGTGATGCGTGAGTGTGAGTGTGAGTGTGAATGGGAATGTGAGTGTGAATGTGAATGTGAATGTGATTGGAATGGGAATGTTAATGTGAGTGGGAATGGGAATGTGAGTGTGAATGTGAATGTGAGTGTGAGTGTGAATGTGATTGGAAATGGGAATGTGATTGGAATGGGAATGTGAATGTGAGTGGGAATGGGAATGTGAAGTTTCACGCGTGCAGTACGGACTGAAGAAAACTTCATAAGATAGCTTGCTGAGGGAGAGAGGGGGTGGGAGACTGAGGAAAGGCGGCAGGAAAGATAGCTGGGGGCGGAAGAATAAGAAGGAGGCTGAGCGAGGGACAGGGAAGGCAAGGGGAAGTACGCGTGGGCATAAAGTATGTGTTTTGTACTCTACAGGTTAGGGCACTGTCCTGATTATAAACACAGGTCTACTGATAACAATTTATTACAGAAACCTCTGCTGAGATACCCCCTAACCATATTAAATGCGTATTCATCACAAAATCTAACTCTTTTGGTGAGATATTGCGCATGCGCTAATACACAAACGTAGCCAGATTGTGTACTGGCTTATATATGCAGCCGGGACCTTACATACAAGGTCTTCCCCCCTATTTCTTAAGTAATGTCTACTGATAAAATGTTATCATATAAATCTATGCTAGGATAACTCCTCCTCATTTTAAATGCATAATCTTTGCAAAACATTATTTTTCTCGGGAGATATTGCGCATGCGCGAGCACAGTTTTAGGCGTGCAGTACGGACTGAAGAAAACTTCATAATAATACCTTGCTGAGGAAGAGAGGGTGGGAGACTGAGGAAAGGCGGCATGAAGATAGCTGGGGCGGTAGAAGAAGAAGGGAGCTGAGCGAGGGACAAGAGAGGAAAGGAAAATAAAAGGAAGCGGGGGCACAAAGTAGGTGTTTTGTACCCTACAGGCTAGGGCCCTCTCCTAATTATAAACACAGGTCTACTGATAAAAATTTATTAGAGATATATATGCTGAGATACCCTCTAACCATATTAAATGCATATTCATCACAAAATATAACTCTTTTGGTGAGATATTGCGCATGCGCTAATGCACTAACGTAGCCATATTGTGTACTGGATGGTATATGCAGCCAGGACCTTACATACAAGGTCTTCCCCCTATTTCTTAAGTGATGTCTACTGATAAAATGTTATTATATAAATCTATGCTAGAATAACTCCTCTTCATTTTAAATGCATAATCTTTTCAAAATATTATTTGTCTCGGGAGATATTGCGCATGCACGAGCACAGTTTCACGCGTGCAGTACGGACTGAAGAAAACTTTATAATAATACCTTGCTGAGGAAGAGAGGGGTGGGAGACTGAAGAAAGG